TCTACAATCATAGTTAATAAATAACATCGATATATATATGCGTATACTATTTTCAGCATATTTGTTTAATGAAGGTTTAAGCGAAAATAAATATACAGCTTACCTTCAAGTGTAGTTCCATCATCCAAAACTCGACCAAGATAGACAATCTTCAGACATGAAACAGATGGAACGGATTCTTCAGCCCATTCTACGAATATTAATGAGTGAAAGAGTTAATTAAACTTTCCTGAGAAACCAAGGAAGAAATTTTATCTAACCTTCAATTGACGTTTGCACAAAAAAATTAAAGCAATTTATCCGACTATTTTATTACCTTCAGGCCAATCAGTAAAGACATGTTTTTTAACCATGGCGACAGTATAACTAGGGTCAAAAAAGAAGGTGTGTCGCTTTCCTGAAACCAATAGTAAAGTCAAACTGATCTTATTCCCTAACTCGGGGTTATTTGTCTCGACTAAAGAAGTGTCAAGCTGAGAGGTATTTGAAGGTAAGGAAGACGACGTCGTTGAATCGCCAGTAGAGCTTGAATTTATATTTTCAGAATGTGTAGTTGTTGTTTGAGTTTCGGACATTCGATTATTAGTTGCTGGTTGTGAGGTGTCTGCGTTATTGCTGACGTGAGTTACTGGTGATTGAACTTCAGGGTGAGTCATTTATCTTTCGACTTTGTAAGAATAAAAAAAAAAAAAGAGAAGTTTTAACGAATGTGTAAAATTTTAGTTGAGATAATAAGTGAATTCCATCCAAAAGTAACCAAAAAATTTATTTACTATATATTTATTAAAAGGTATTAAAAGTTAAAAAATTTTTTTTCTTTACAAAACTCTAGAAAACCGCTTGGTCATAACCTATAAATAATTTAGTTGTACGGATGTTAATGTTATTTATAGATTTATACCTTTTTTTGCAAAAATGGTAAATTTAATAATACGTATAATAATTGGATATCCAAAATTTTTTTTTTTAAAGATTGCACACTTTTTAATAGGGATGACATCCACTTATTTTTCTAACATGAAAAACAGCTAATCAGTGATTTCAATTTCGGATTAGCCCGATACGTATATCAGATATATAGTTATACGTACAAAAAATATAGTTTCTTTTAGACAATTCTGCAATATTTATTTAAATACAGTATATATATTTAAATATATACACTGTATATGCTGTATTTGTACATTTGATATACAGTATTCAAATAAGCTATGTATTTATAATAATTCTGGTTTAACAGGTTATACAAACCAGATGCAAAGTATTGTTAATTTGGAAAGTTCTTAGTTACCTTTCTTCAAAGAGTTGATTACCTCTTGCAAATAGTAATAATGCATAAACCAGTAAGAAGTTTCTAATAAAACGTTGATTATTTTGCGTTAACGTTCTTTCGAAGCTATGTACGCACGATTAAAAATTTTAATTTATAATTTAAAATTTGTGTTAGTGAGTTTTCAACAAGTATATAAGTTCGTTACCCGGCAATTGAATCGATCAGCTAATTCTTACATAATTGGCCAATACAAAATTGTACAGTACGCATCAGGTTCCAAATTTTATAAGTAAAATTTTGCTTTCTATGCTAAAGAAGTGGTCAGTGTAATTTCTAGGTATCATTTTGCAAATTCTCTAGCATTTGAAGATTCTTTTCATGAAATTTCAAGAGTGGTTAAAAATAAACCCCAAAAGAATCATGACCACGAAGTTGGACAATTTTTACTATTTGTTTATAAGTGATGTATGTTGTTTATTCAAAAATACCTAAAAAAGGTAATGATGAACAGTTAATTAAATTTATTTATTTTTTTTTTTTAATGTTAATGGTGAGGGTTAATTAAATTATTATTATTATTTTTTTTTTTAATCTTCAAAGGGGGTTAATTAAATTATTTTTTTTTTGAATATTAATGGTGAGACTATGTCTTTGTCTTTATTGAAATTTAATTAAAATCTTTTATACAGAAAAGAATTACAACTTAAACTTCATATCATACGATAGCAAGAAAAGAGACTTAGACTAGTTTATCTGCAGCCTAAACCAGGGTTAATTAAATTATATAATTGACTGTTTATACAAATATATAGTAAAAATTGTCAAAAAATTACCCAACTTCGTGGTTATAATTCTTTTGGGTTTTATTTATAACTACCCTTGAAATTTTATAAAAAAACCTTCAAATACTATGAAATTATATTAACAACTTTTTTATTGTCAAATAAGCCTAGTAGGGTTCTTCAAAATCAAATCAAATCAAATATTAGACTTATTTGAATTTGATTTGATTTGAAAATCTGGATTTGAATTTGTTTTAATTTAAAAAATCTGGATTTAAATTTGATTTGATTATTTGATTTTAAAATTTCAAATCAAATTAAAATTTTGCTATTTATAAAAATCTTTGATTTTCTTAAAATTTTATTAAGCTAATCGATTTTGTGTATTAAATAAAAAATGTTCTTCTAATCAAAATATTTCTAGTTTCATAAAACCAAATTAGTGATTGTTTTAATAAAATTTTGAAAAAATGATCTTTAGAACTATAACTTTTTAAATTTTAGCTAGTTATAAATATCTTTGACTTTCTTAAAATTTTATTAAGCTAATCGATTTTGCATATTAAATAAAAAATATTCTTCTAATCAAAATAGCCCTAGTTTCATAAAACTGAATTAGCGATTGTCTTAATAAAATTTTGAGAAAATAGCCTCTAGAACTATAACTTTTTAAATTTTAACTGTTTATAAATATCTTTGATTTTTACAAAATTTTATTAAGCTAATCGATTTTGTGTATTAAATAAAAAATGTTTTCCTAATCAAAATAGCTCTGGTTTTATAAACCAAAATTAGTGATTGTCTTAATAAAATTTTAAAAAAATAGCCTCTAGAACTTAACTCTTTAAATTTTAACTATTTATAAATATCTTCGATTTTCACTAAGCTAATCGATTTTGTGTATTAGATAAAAAATGTTCTTCTAATCATAATAGCCCTAGTTTCATAAAACTAAATTAATAATTATTTTAATAAAATTTTGAAAAAATAACCTCTAGAACTATAACTCTTTAAATTTTAGCCATTTATAAATATCTTTGATTTTTTTAAAATTTTATTAAGCTAATCAATAGGGTGTGGCGACTTAGTGAAGTGGTGAAGTTGTCACACTCCCAAGTGACAGGAACAGAGTTCAAATCCCACTAGTAACGAAAAATTCAAATTCTCAGTACAGTGTTACGACAACTGTGAGTGAAAGGATAGATCGATATCTGTAACTAGATCACATCAGCTTGTATTAGGAGACTGTAGAACAATAGTGTAATGGACAAGTTACATGAAACCCGAGTGAAGCAATTGTGTAAATCTGAGGTTAGCGTATATGGAAGCCCATTTGGCAAGACCCGAGTAGAGAGGTAATACGGATCTTCAACAGTATAATGTAAAGGATTATCAACCAAGAAACTGGAAAACTGAACAGGACCGAAGTGTTTAGCAAGGCACTTCACCAACCAGGCTGCCAGAGAGTAACTGGAGGAAAAAGACCCAACTGTAGGGACCAGGCAGGTTATAGCCCTTCTGGGCCATCTGGATTGAAAGTTTGGAATAACAGGTGTATGAGAAATAGTTTGTATAGTAGGTGTTGGGGTTTGAGTAAACTCTACAAGAATAGTAGTAGGTAATAGTAGCGGTTTCAGCTTACAAGTACTTGTTTTCGAACTCGGTATAAGTTACCAAAAGTCTAGATCAGCCAGATTTGTGGGTACGGAAGGCTCTAGCAGGTTTACTTTGAGGATAAAGGGTTCAATAAGAGCCTGCTTTAAAGTTCTAAGTTGGGTGTTTGAAAATAAGGTGGTACTGCATATTTTCGCTTGATTAGATGATTAATATATATAGGCGCAGAGAGTTTAAATGGGTAACTCGGTAGGGTTATAAATACAGCAGCTAGTGTAGAACCTTCTGAGTGTTTACTTAAATAGGCAACCAAAAGTTGCATATGTGACTAGTTGTACTTTCCAAATATGTGTACGGTTTGGTACACCATACTGTAAAAGTTAACAATAATCAAATAAAAGAAGACGACCAAGAGGTCACCTTAACACCAAAAAAAAAAAAATTAAGCTAATCAATTTTAGATATTAAATAAAAAATGTTCTTCTAATCAAAATATCTTTAGTTTCATAAAATCAAATTAGTAATTATCTTAATAAAATTTTGAGAAATAGCCTCTAGAACTATAATTCTTTAAATTTTAACTGTTTATAAATATCTTCGATTTTCTTAAAATTTATTAGGTTAATTGATTTTGTGTATTAAATAAAAAATGTTTTTCTAATCAAAATAGTCCTAGTTTCATAAAACTAATTGGCGATTGTCTTAATAAAATTTTAAGAAAATAGTTTCTAAAACTATAATTCTTTAAATTTTAGCTATTTATAAATATTTTCAAATCAAATTAAATATTTGATCTTTCAATTTGAATTTGATTTGATTTGAA